ACTACCTCGACTGTCTTCAGAGGTGTGTCGTACTGACTGTAAAATATAATAATACCAGTAAAAATTTGCACGATCAGAAGCTGGAATAGTAAATACTGAACGGTGAGCTGCTCATTTCAGTTACCCAATTTAATTATAAGATTTACAATTATGACCATTATGAACACTGGCAATCTCAGACATTTATCAATAACGCCTGAACAAAGGATGGATCGATTTTAGGTATTACTGATCAAAGCATTTCGAATAAAACCAAGACTAAATCGAATTATTCATTTTAGGAAATAACAAGCAAGTACTCGTTCATGTATATTTATGAACTATGGCTGCTGCAAGTATTTGTCGATGAAAATATTTCACGAAGTAAAATATTTTGATAATTATGATCACTTTTAATTGACAGACGACTTTTAAAACGATGCACGCAACAGACAAGATTGCTTCAAACTTTAGAAGGTCAATGGAATATTATTCTATTAAGCCATTCCCTCGAGGAAATAAATGAGAGGTTCTACAATAGAACAGAATAAATTTACTTACCAATTTGCAGCGGCGGCAGAAAAAACTCGAAGATGTCGAAGAATAAGTCCGCCTCTCAATATTTTCGAATGATTTGTCTTTGAATTACGGAAGTCGTTTACCAAAAGGTTTGTGCATGCCAAGCAATAATTTCGTTGAAAGATTGCGTCTTCTTATAACTAGTAGATTATGAGGTGGAAAACAAACGAATACTTCAGCTTAAAGCGAGTTATTTTCCAGCTTGAAATTTCAAAATTTTTTCATAGTTATGAGGAAGAATTGTATGGTCGTCTCGGAATCTAAAATATCGTGCATACCACCATTTGAAGCGATGATGTTTGTATGGTTTGAAGTTAATGGCAGGCGTTTAAAAAGCATAAAATTGAAAAAAAATATAGGAGGAAGAAGGTCGTCCATTTCGACTTGTTCTAAGCAGCATCGTCTGTCTCGAAAGATTGATACATCAATTAAGCCAACATGAAAAGCATCTTAAGACATCAAGAAAGCGTTACATTAAGTACCAAGCGAATTAAAAATTGTCACTTGTGGCAATTTATTGCAGTTTTCAATATTAAATTTTATTCATTTATTGGAAATTATGTTAAAAATTTGGCATATTTTCTATAGATGACGTTCATGTTCTCTATCATTTTTTTAATAAGTTTACAATATCCTTGAAATTTTCAGGACATAGCTGAAATTTGCTAATAAATACAACATATTTTGAAATACAGACCAAAATTCGTAACAGAATAAATTTCATTGTAGAAAAACAAACAGTATAAATAATTTTCTTGAACGTGTATTTATTAATTAACATTAAATGTAGGGCAGTAATTCTAGCATTAATTTTTGTTCTTAGGATGCAAAGATTAGTCGAGTAACTCCGTATCACTTTTCCTGCATTCAGTGATTAATTATCACAGCTATCACTGTGATATTTAATCACAGTGATTAAATATCACAACCGCTGTCGATGAAGATGAAATTTTGAAGCGTTGGAAAAATTTATCAACTATTTCATTTGAGAATGAACATAACATTTTAATCTCGCAAACTGTAAACAAAATTATATTAACGAATGACTGAAATTGTTCGGCCTGTAGTATATCAGATACAGAAGGTAACATATCATCAAGATTTCGATTCAATAAATACCTACCGATGTATTTCTATGAAGATCATTATGCAGGACAGAAGATACAAGATAGAATTTAAAACATTCAAGTAGGTAGTTTTTCTCCAAAGAAACGATGATAAAATGTCATAAATTACATGTACCTAAGGTTCATATACTGTTACTTATAGAAATAAGTAAATTTCAAAATCTTGTTGGGAAATCATGTCGGGTGAACAGGACAGCTCCTGATATGAAGAAAATTGTGACAGCTCCTGATATAAACATGAAGAAAATTTAAAAATTAAGACAGACATACAAGAATTTTTTTTCCATATTAAAAACTCATCGTAGCTAACGAAACACAAATAGGAGACAGAATATGGAGGAATTATTATAAGTAATATATCATCTGAAATATTTTTCATCAGCAAGAAGTTGAATGTAGGAGTAGATCCAAGATACTCGTCTGAAGTACTTGTAGATCAATTCATAATCTACTGCTTATGAAATACAAGCATGAATTGTCCAGTTTACCGAACTAAATTACCTTTATCTAAATCAATAAATATTTGTTACGGAAATGTCAGCAGCCAAGAAGAGAAGCAGTCAAGGTCTTTAAAAACGCACTAATTTCTATCAAACGAATTATAAATATTTATTTAATTACTATTCATATGGCTATCAAACAAATTATAAAATATTTATTTAATTACTATTCATATGGTCCCCCAGTTTCCTCATCAGCAGGATTAGTTTTCCTCTCCGCTGCAATCCTGGCGTGCTGAGCTTTTATTCGTTCAAACAAATCCTGGTGCAAGTTGCGAGCTTTTTCCAGCACCGGCGTGAACTGCGGCAGTGAGGCTGGATCCACGTTGCCGTCTGGGTACTCCACATTGATAGGAGCGTCGTATCTGCAGTGAAAAATATTAAATTTCTATGGAATTTCTGCTTTAATAATATGCGTTTAAAAATTACTTTTTAAAGACAACACTTCTAAAGAATCCAGTGTCTTTGATGTTACACATGTATAATGAATTTCTAATTTTATTTTCAAATATTAAAAAACTTAATTTTCAAATTATTTTACTATATAAAAATTTTTTTCATTTTTCAAATTAATCATTCTGTCAATTGATTCATGCATTGTCTGCAACTTTTCGCAAGTATGCAAAATTTCAGATCGATTGGACAGGTAGAAGTGTGTCAAATATCGATTATAAGATTTGTAGGAGACAAAATTATTTAAAGTTTTTTAATAGTGAAAAAATTTACATTTTTAAAATTATTTATTCTGCCAATTGATTCATGCTCCAACTTTTCGCAAGTATGCAAAATTTCAGATCGAAAGGACAAGTAGAAGAGTGTTGAATATCGATTATAAGATTGTAGAAGACAAAAGGGAAGTGTTGTAAAAATGCTAAGTCTCGGGAATATGCTCAGCTACTAGCCGAAAGGAGTACCAGAAGAACCACAAAAATCTCCTGAAACCATTTAAAGTGTTCAATTTAGATAGTGCAGCTTGGTTATTCAGTATCTTTGTGTATGCAGTGAAATTTGACACAAGTTTTATAAAGTGAACAATCTTCTTGAAGGAGAACGGAACGTGATTTTTCAAAATAATTACTTTAGGCAAGCAAATCAAACATTTGTTTCACATGAACAGAAAATATAAATTTATTAGCTTATTTTTGTCAATATACCGCATTAACCATGGAAAAATTTATTGAACTGAATCTGTTGCAATATCTTTATACATGTCTTTATATATAATATCTTTTTATTATAGCAACGCAACAAAGCAAATTATTTTCAACCATAAACTTGAATAAAAAACTTAAAGAAATAAAGAACTGAAAAAAATGAATAAAATGAGCCATTTCAAGTTGCAAATTTTTTCCTGAGAGATATGTTCATAAAAATAAACTAACGTCTGAGGTTCATATCCCAGTTCGGCAGCCCTGAGCGCATGCTCGGAGCCAATCTTGGAGTGTTCCTCAGCAATCTTCTGGAAGAGTTGAGCGTGGCGCTCGCGCTCAGCGATCTGGGCATCAGTGTACTGGGGCTGGTTGGTGCCCTCCACATGGAAGCCTTGATCGTCTGCAGTGTAGATCACTTCTTGAACACGCAGGCTAGGGTCAACGTACCTGCAGTAATGAGTTATTCATTTTATAATCACGGCGAATTATCTGTTCATTTATAATCATAGCGATTTATTCATTTATAATTACGGAGAAATGTGCATTTATAATCATAGCGAGTTGTTCGTTTATAATCATAGCGAGTTGTTCGTTAATAATCATAGCGAGTTATTCATTTATAATTACAGTGACTTGTTCAGTTATAATGATAGCGAGTTGTTCATTTATAATCATAGCAAGTTGTTCATTTATAATCATAGCGAGTTGTTCATTTATAATCATAGCAAGTTGTTCATTTATAATCATAGCGAGTTATGCATTTATAATCAGAGTGAGTTATTCATTTATAATTACAGCGAGATGTTCATTTATAATCATAGTGAGTCATTCATGTATAATCACTGTGAATTGTTCATTTATAATCATAGCTAGTTGTTCGTTTATAGTCATAGTGAGTTGTTCATTTATAATCATAGCTATTGTTCATTTATAATCATAGTGAGTTATTCATTCATAATCATAGCGAGTTATTCATTTATAATCACGGCGAGTTATTCATTTATAATCACTGTGAATTGTTCATTTATAATCAAAGCGAGTTGTTCGTTTATAATCATAGCAAGTGGTTCATCTATAATCATAGCGAGTTATTCATTTATAAGCAAGGCGAATTGTTCATTTATAATTACATCGAGTTGTTGGTTAATAATCATAGCGAGTTATTCATTTATAATCACGGCGAATTGTTCATTTATAATCATAGCGAGTTGCTTGGTTTTAATCATAGCGAGTTATTTATTTATAATCACAGAGAGTTGGTCATTTATAATCATTTATAATCGCAGGGTGGCAGCAAGCCATGTTTTTAAGGAGATTATCAGTCGTTGGAAAAAGCCAATGAATGTTAACATACTAAATACAACGTTATCTAAAATTTTTTTTGATTCAAGCGTGTAAATTCTTCATTGTATTCACTACACAAGTTTAGTCTCATCTTGTTAAGGAAAATATTTTTGGACCATACAATGCTAATTGTCCATTTAAATTTTTTGAAGTAGACAAACACCTGTAAACGCCTCTAGTGATGCCATCAGCGCCCCTCTCTTCCTTGTGCTCCCGGTCTGGTGCGCCGTGGTAATGACGTGAGGCCTCCCATGCGAAGCTGTACGGCCGCTTCTCATCGTCATCGTCGTCACGATCGCTGCGAGATTCACGCTGGTCGTGCAAGTCGTCGAGCTTGTCGGGCAACGCTTCCGTGACGACAAGGATGCCGAGTAGCATCCATAGAGCGAACGCCTGACGAGAAGATGTGCCGACATTATTTTCCTAGCTACGAGGGGTGATACAAATAGAAGAATAAGGATTAATAATTAGTTATAGAAGTCGATATGTTCTGGAAACCTACCTCTTACAGATATCTTAATTAGAATATTATTTGCAAATCAAGAGTTGTCTGCAGGATTGATTTGCCGACATTATTTTCCTAGCTACGAGGGATGATACAAATAGTAGAATTATGATTAATAATTAGTTATAGAAGTCGATATGTCCTGTGAACCTGTCTCTTGCAGGTCTCTTAATTAGAATATTCTTTTGCAAACCAAAAATTTTTTGCAGTCTTTATTTGCAACTATTTTTGTCGTAAAGTTTAAATACGATCGAATATAGAATTGACATAAATTTGCTGAAGTCTTGACAGTTTCCAAACTTCGATGTTTGGAGTAGTCATGACCAGGTAGTTCGATGCTTGAAAGGATTTGGCTGTTCATCATTTATTGCTTTTTAGTTCTTTTCAATAAATGAATACAAAGGAAAAATAGTGATAGCATTTAAATTCTGCCTCGATCTTTGCTGCGTCTGCGTTGTGGGGGTAATCTGGCATGTGCTTTCGGTCGGGTTAGGCACTGGTTTCTTGGTGGAGACTGCGAGTCAGGCCAAACGAATGGGACCTCCTTCCAATATAATGCGCATCATAGAACGGTTCCACATTCTTCACGAAAATGTTGGGGTACATGGGGTCCATATTGGCTCTCTGTCCCCGCTTTAGATCGCTCAATCTTATTAGAGACCCCGTTGCTCTGTCCGCCTAAAATTTTCTTTTAATCCATAATTCACATCTTATCGCATGGGCTTCACCCTAATCATGGACCACATTCATGCTGTCCTCGGCCGTCCAGTGACCTGGCGAGGATACTTCCTCCAGTGTTCAAGATCCAGTGCCCAGTCACAAAAGAGCTGTTCATGCCATCCGCTTATAAGTCCACCTTTGATCAGTTTTATAGTCTTTGATTAGAATTTCAGGAGAATATTTTAATTTTGAGGAATGATTAATAACTTTGCAATAATAGAAATGAAGTGGTATAACGAAGGCTTAGTTTAATATACAATGCATTACTTTATTGGGAACCTTCTGGCCAGGCAATCTTATCACCTGCAGGTTTACCAAGTGATTATACTTCTGAGTACCAGGATTAGAATAGTGAGTTGTGGGCTCGATCCAAGCTTCCTGTGACAGTTCTGGTCAAAATCGGAGTAGTGGCCGAGTGGTTAGGAATATCAAGATTAATTGGAGCACTTATATAATTAACATTGGGTTCAAAGCCCAGTGAGCTACTTTCCCAATTATTTCTGGAGAAACGATCAAAAAACGTTGAAATTAAATAAATTAAATGGTACAACGGAACCATGATATCATCCTTAATGCATGTCATTATAAAAAACCTTCAGGCCGAAAAATCTTTACCAATTATTTCCGAAAAATAAATGCATCAAGACACGTGCTTCAAAGTTGATTACTGAAGAGATGCATAGTGCAAGTGTCCTCGGTCATCGCCTTGATCTACGCCCAGCGCTTGTGCGCTCGAGGTCATAAAATGAATGAAAAAATCTAGTTACCTCTGCTGAAAAGAAATCAGAGTTCCTAGAATTAAGCAAAGGCCGAGATTGTATGGGGGTTACAGTGACAACGAAATATTTATTCAAAATCACATGTGTAACCTGTGATTTGATATAATTTTTTCACCGTTCATTGGCATGTAATGTTGCAATATGAAGGTCAATTATTGCACATACTGAACTTTATTTTCTAAGGGAGTCAAAACAAATGAAATCTTGGGCAACATTCAAATTTTACTTATTCATGTGACAGTTAGGTATATGGTAACATGTAATTTATAGGCAATATAAACTTGAATAATATCAATTTAATTGAAGGAATATATACTAGTCATAAGTTTTATAAGCTATTTGAAAGCTGAAGCGATGGAAATGAACGACCTGATTGGGGAACTGTTTCGTTCCATATGTTGGAGATAAGAAAGTCTTGATTTAATATATTCTCTACGTGTACTTATTCAAATGTAACTTTTTATATTATTGAAATAGGATATGCCTCAAATTTACGTCGCACTGAGCACAGCTTACTTCAATCTCAATAGAGTAATAAAATCATATTGAGAATATTTACGTTCATACTAAGTGTCTAAACTAAAAGTCCACGGCACAAATCCACGTTTTTACGAAGAATATAGCTTCCAACAAACCATGCGCTGCAAAATGCAAGCCTGCAATCCTGAACCATATAGTGATGCGAGTTCAGGAGATCAGTTCATGGCCAACGCTGCTTCCGAAACTTTCTATTTAGTTTGACATTAAAGAGAAACGTGGCAAGGGCAGAGCACAAAGCCAACGAATCTTCGAGCTAGTATAAGAATCGCTGAATTTGAACTTTATTTCCAGCTATAGCGAGACCAAAATTAGACAAATATAAGCATGCATTGTTGCATTAGTGATTGCTCGAGAAGTTTATTTTAAGCTTAGTATTTCTTATTAGTTAGCACCTTCTTAGTAGATTGAAAGCTGTTTGAATTCGAGGTGAGTTTAATTAGAAATACGATATCATGTAGCTACATTAAAACCCAATCGTAACACTCGGCAAAACACGCGATTTTTATTATAGGATTTTCCCAATCAGCTGAAATTAACATGAATTCCATATAATTTGTTTAGGTACCTAGAAATAAGCATGGAACTCGATATGATTACCGATATTCAGAAACATGAAGTCAGAATTCTATCGCTAGCCTTACTGTAATTTATTTTAATATATGACAAAAATATGGATCAATCCTTACCTTGCGGTTCATGATAATCCTAATTGCGCACAGTAATATACCCCCAATTCACTCAATCGATGTCACCAGGAATTTTGATCAGTTCTGTGTCGTAAGTGAGGCAAGAACTAATCAAGCACCGATACCTGCGCACTGCTCACTGCACCGAGGCAAGACTGCAAGTGGAGTCCAGCGTTGTTGTTGCTCACTTTATTAGTCGCTTCCATGCGCCTCAGTGAAAGTGTCTGCTCACAGACTGCGCACTTCCAAGAACGCAGACCATACGCGCTGTGATCTTCGTGGCTGTGCTCTATGAGAATGTTTTCTGCCATGAGTCTGTCGTGGGTGTCGCAACTTGTATGTTCGTCACTGCTGTGGCTTGGGTTAGTTAGAACGTTTTTTTTGCGGTTAAACTGTCTTGAGTGCCTCGACATGTTCATCGTCTTGGGACAATTAGACGTTTTTTTGCCATTATAATGTTATGAGAGATTAAACTAAATTAAAATGGCTTAAGTAGCTGCAGTGTCATACCTGCGACCAGGAGTTCTTTATGCAGTCATGCTTTTTTAAGATGTGTCGAAGGAGTAAACAAAAAATTTAGTTACATGTTGATCATGATGGTGGCCTTCACGCTGATTCTGTCAATAGGTGTCATTATAGACTATTATGTCTGAATGATGTTTTCGTCAATTATAACTATTGTATTTGTAACAACAGCTCTTGGAGCCAACGTTTTATTGAAACTGAGCTCATTCTATTCAGTTTCGAGGTTTATGAAGAGAAGTTCCTTTCATCTTATAAAACACTGAAGCTAATTAAACTACACTAAGTAGTTTAATTTATTTTGACGTAACTATATACAGAGAGGCAGGCAGCTGTTTTAAATGAGAGTAGCGCTGCCAAAAAAGTAAATAGTTCACAGTAATCGCCCCGTCTGTACTTAGAGTACAATTCTTCTTGACGACGTGAATATTACCTTGATGGTAGTACAAGAAAACTAATTGCGTATTTAATACAGATCCATCCTATAAATGTAGCTTCCATCTTACTACCGTTTGCTAACCTTATTGTAGAGACAAAATCGGTAGAAAATATCCATCTTTCTCCATCTTATAGTCACACGATTAAATTTATTTCTATATTGTACATATCAATGGTTGGAGTTTCACGATCAAAACAAACCGTTCACGTGCATTGATGTCTGAGCTGCGAGGCAGGGTTGAATTTTGAGCCTAACCGACTGAAGCTGTTCAGTGCGTTAGCCGTTCGCTGAATTTTTAAGCGGTTTAAATTTTTTTCATCGAGAGTGCGAGAGCTTGCATGCCTTGCATATGAGAGTACCCGTGCCAACCAGCACGGTTAAAATTTCACAATAATATCGAATCCTCTCCTACTCCAAAATCAATTTATTCCCATTTCGGTGGTTAGTACAGTAACAGCATACAAATCCCACCGGAAGTTTTTCCATTATCTGAGCCAATTAAGTGGTAAGGTTGCTCGCCGGTCAATATAGTTCATTTTTTTATTCAATTCTTAGTAATGTTTTAATAAATCCTATATTCTTAGAATCTTAGGGCATAATTCACAAATCTATCTTCACTAATTTATTTATAGAACTTTACAATAATAAAAAAACTTTACTGAGTCCAACTGCTATTATTTTGCCTCGGTGCTGTCAAGCGCTCGACAATTTATTCTTCATACAATTTGTTTTTCATACATGAAATACAAGCAACGATTTATTTCACAAGCCATTAATTAAAGTTACAAAATCTCTTATGATACTTATAACTTATAGGGTATAGGTACTCTTCATACTTATAGGTTCTTAAGAAAGATCTTCAGGCGCCTAGCATTTAATTAGATTTGAGTCAAGTCATCAATTCATTATTCAAAAATGTTGAACCTGAATTGCACTTCCGAGTTATAAAATTTAGTATTATTTAAAAAGAAACAATGAATTTTTAGGAATTCTTCCTGACTTATCAAGACTGAATGTAATTTTGAATGCCTTCATGTTCGCTAAATAAGTGTTATTTATGATTATTTATATATGTAGGTTCAATGAGGAAACATTGCTTTGAAAACCAGTGACCGATTTTCAAAATGGCGATTGCACTTTTAGATCTTCACCAGCCTCGTAGTATATATCCCACTCATAATTATACTATCAAAAGTATAAATAATTTTTCCTGGTTTTATTTTTAATCAATTTGCTGAGCTATTTGATCTTATCTCCATCGAATAAGCTATGGAAAATATATGGTCCTTTTTTAAATAAATTCGGTTGACGTACGTAAAATCTGAACAATTTCTATGTTATTTTTTTCGTAATAGGAACGTTTCGAGGGAAAATAATTAATCACGTTAATTAAATTTTCTAATTTTATCATCGGTTTTATCATTGGGCTTGATTTTTATTTTTATCAACAAGTATTGCGCAAGTATTTCTGCTGAAGACTAGCCGGGAAATACTCGAGTCGTGAGGCTCGCAATTTACGGCAGAAAAAAGTCCCATGCCAAATTCGTCTGGGTTCTCACGCACCCGCCGCCCTCCGAGTAATNGATGTGTATAAGAGACTAAATGTGATCCGTCCTTTAGATCTTATTTTTCAAGGGGAAAATTTTCCAGGCAGGTATATAATTTTTACCTGTTGATCGATCTGGATAAAACGAGGATTGGAAAAATTCTTCAAATAGATGACAAAAACAAGCAAGATAATAAGATTGAGAGGCTCAATGGTTGGCGATACATTCCGATTTCATGTAATAAATAAGAAATTACTTATGACAATTAAATGTTTTTGGCTGGTTACAAATAAACACGTTCGACTTCAGTATTTCAGCCCCCAGGATGCAGTACTGTTGTAGTCTCACGCTCTTTTGGCCCATAAACGCAAATTAAGAATTTTGATTAGATACCTTATCTTTAAATTAAAATTACCGAATTTAACTTGAACCGACACATTCGCGCAATACAATAGTGGGAACACGGCACTGGATGCAACACATTCGCGGGAACACGGCACTAGGCGCAGCACATTCGCGGGAACACGGCACTGGATGCAACACATTCACGGGAACACGGCACTGGCGCAACACATTCGCGGGAACACGGCACTGGGCGCAACACAATCGCGGGAACACGGCACTGGATGCAACACATTCGCGGGAACACGGCATAATTACTACTAAATATCTCTACTCAACTTGTTAGATGAACAATATCCTCTTGAAAAAATTCCATCTCGTAATTCCCTTGTCAATACGAAAAGATTCTTGATGTCTTTCAAGATCTCTTTGACCACTCCTTCGTGAATTGTACGAGTCATGCAGTCAAAGTCGTCGAAGCTTCAAACAATTCTACCTTCCGCTTTTATCATGCTCAGTTTGTATATTTTTCTCAGGGGTACGTCTAGAATTCTTGCACGTTAACGTTATAATTGAAATACAGTACAATTAAAATAGCGTAATTTTAACGTTTGTTGCTTCACTTGCATGATTGTTAAGAAAATTATTATAAAATTTGTGTAAGTCGTTTCTCTCGGGGAAAGAAACATTTGCAATATTAATTTCTACAATCTCATTGCATAAAGTCGTATGAACATTTATTGCCATAGAAGGTACTTCTTCATGCATAAACGTGTTCGGTATGCATGAAATTAAACAAATTTTGTAGGTGCGAGACAAGGCACCGATAATTTTCATATTTGAAGCACTCTGATTGAGAACAATGTTGCTCTATGCTTAGTTATTTAGGAACGTAATCAAATTATCAACTAATTGAATTATAGATTACGTAAAAATACTAATCAGAATTAGCGACACTCGACATCCGTATATTCCTGGTTGAATGGCCTCATGAATAACAAAGGATCATATGCTAGCCTATTTTCATACATTAATACACCTCTACAGAATACATACAGAATAACATTTCATATTATATTCCGTATAATATCACACTAAGATTATGCCACGTTTACTGCACGACGCAATGCGATGCACTCTCCGTAGCACGTCTACGGGCGTTTACTGCGGTCGCTTAATGGTCTGCTAAATGCAATTCATTTACGTGCAGAAAAAAACCGATGAGCGGAAGGCAATGAGCCTTGTGGGAAAAATACTTTGGGTTTTTGTCTGAATACAAGCTTCTTTTCGATGTTTTTCGAGCGGCAGATTTTTGTCGGTCATTTCATCTATCGAAATTCAGGGTTTGAAATGATTCATGTCGTTCAGTTCTGAATTTATATTGATATTAATTTAAAAAAATGGTATATGTAATTCAAAGCCCAATATTTGTACAGCGTGCTGCGTGCATTTCCCCGAAGTTATTTATGCACTGTTCATCCGTCGTATTTACAAAGATTTTTAATCTTAACGTATTTTAAATCTTGACACAGAACGTTAATAGCCATAAACTATGTTCAATGAACACAATCTATTGGTCCGTCGAGATTTTTTACACGTATCTCATTACTATAGATTTGATACTATTTATACAATAAAATATACGCCCTATGTGTATTTCCAGCATTTGAAAATGTGTTCACGGTATGGCAAGAATGATTTCGATCTGTGTTTGATGTTGAAAACACAATGGCAGTGCTAAGTTTCTAGGCATTACTTTTGTCAAGTCATCGATCGTGATGTAATTTATTTGCAGACAACAAAAACTGGGCCTATTGGTGGTGCACAACTTTTTTTCCCCGTTTATGGGGAAATTTAGACACTATAAATTCATCGATCATTTTCAATAAAAATTATTACTGCTGAGTAATTAAACGATATCTGGTGAGTCATTGAAGAAAGTCAGTTTTCGAAAATATATAATACGATTATCTAATACATGGAAGTTCAATTTCTTGAGCTGAATTCTAGTATGCTTCTTTATTTGTGTGTATCTCTAAACTGGGTGACGTAAAATTACCCGCATTACGCTTAAAAACTCATAGAAATGAGTGAGAAATTTGTCCAAATAGCGATGCAGTTTTATATATGTGTGTGTCGTCCTGACCCAGTTTGGCTCGGCTAAAGTCCGTATCAGTGCTACAGCTCCACCGCTCTCTGCTCGGACTGTAGATTAGAATGTTTGCCACTATTTGAACGCTAAACCATGAATGTTTGGACTTTGTACACAGTCTGTCATTTTCACAGTACACAGTCTCTTTGTACACAGTCTGTAATTTTCACAGTAC